CCCAAAGCCTGGCTCCCTCTGCTGACAGGATTTCAGCTCATCTTGCCCCCCACTCCCCGCTGACTGTTCGACCTTTTCCTCCAGCCCTTGTGTCTGATACCCAGATGGCTCCATTGGTTGAGTCCCTGCTGTGTGCGCAGGTCAGTGTGTGTGTGTGTGTTTGCGCCGACTGTGTGTGAGGAGGGAGCCTGTGCTGCACGCCATGCCATCTGTCAGGGTCCAGTGCTCGGTACTGCTGTGCCCAGGCCCGGGCAGCTGCGTGAGAGTGTTGTATGGCTGCATGCCCTCCACCTGCAAACAGGTGTTTTCGTCAGACCCCAGAGCAGTATTATAATGATGCGGAGGCTGGAGGCCAGAGGTGGAGCTGCTGTGGGCACTTCCAGGTGTGCGGGCACAGCTGGAGCTGGGATCTGGCTCCTGGTGGGGAGCGGGGCTCCCAGTGCTGGAGCCAGGGGGCGAGTGTGAAGCCAGCCTGGTCCCCAGAGGCTCCAGCTGCCACAGGAGAAGCCCTCTGCCCTCTGGTGGCTGGGCCTGCTGCCTGCACATATTTCTTTAAGGACCGGCGCTGTGAGCCCTTTAGTAAGGAGAAGACTGTAAACAAGCTTTTCACTTACATGAAAGTGTCTCATTCCTTGAAGTGAGGCTGTCGGCACAGACATGCCCAGGACACCCAGGTGGCCTCTGGGAGGGAGCCTGGAGCCAGGGGGTCTGAGGGTGGGAGTGGCTGAGGCTCCAGAGGGCAGGTTCGGTCCTCTGTCCCCTGAGCCCCTCTGCTTTCTTCGTCGCGTTCACAGTGGCCTGTGGACCTGTGGGGGGTTGTTGGGACTTGGTGACAAGGGTTCCTGGTTCAGTTGTTGTTGGGGAGAGAGGGTGGGGGTTCAGGGGATGCGAAGGAGCTGCTGGGGGCCAGACTGGCTCCTTCCCCTGGGGCCTTGGGGCCACCACCTCAGGGCTTTTCTGACCGTTTCTGTGGTTGGAGGCTGCAGTGAGACAAGGCCCCTTTCTGCCTGGTCCACTCAGACACATGCAGCCAGAGCCCCCAGCTGGGCGCCTGCAGGCCACCGCTCAGGCCTGCGATGCGGCTTCCTGGTCACAGGAGAGACCCGCCCTGCTCCCCAGCCAGCCCAGGGCTTTGGATCTGGGGCCTAGTGTGTACATTCTATGTAAATATGTCCATATTTGTACATTAAATGATAGTCTGTTTTTAAATAAACAGATGATACCTGTCTGGCCTTGTTCCTGTCTTGCCCCCTGAGCTGTGTAAGCCTGGACCCTGCTGTTGGCCTCAGCGCCGTCCTGTGGTCCCGGGAGGACCATCTGTGAGACCCGGTGGGGCAGGCAGGGCTGTGGGCCCATGGGCAGCACAGGCTGGGAGGCAGGCAAAGAAGCCAAACCGCAGAGGAGTTCCCCGGAGGCTCGAGCGGGAAGGGCTTCCAGGTCCCTGTGTGAAGGGCCCGTCGGCGGGCCTGGCCCTCCCTCCTGTGTGTGCTGGGCACAGCTCCAAGCTGCCTCGCTGGGGACCAGCCTCAGGTCTCTACCTGGGACCCAGCATCCTTGGCTCTAAGTGCCCGTCACCTGCTCACACCCCAGCCGCACACTCACCCCAGGACTCTGACATCACCTCCCCTCGACCAATGGGCAGAGCCCAGCAACGTGTGAGGATGTGAATGTCAGCTACCTCCCCCACCCCGCCCTGTGGTTGAAAGATGCTCTAACAGGAAGCGGGTTTGGGGCGCTGCGCTGCTTCCTGCCCTCCGGGCTGAGCAGGCTGAGGGGCAAGTGCCAGGTCGGCCACGAGACAGTTTTGTGCCGGGGTCCTGGCAGCTTCCTCTTCCACCACCACTTCCTCGCGGCCGGAGCCCCAGAGGCAGGAGCTGCTGCCTGTTGCCCAGGCCGCCTCCACCCCCAGTTCGGAGCCCTGCCCCCTGGGCTGGGCCAAGCCCGCAGGCTGGCTAGGACTTTCCTGGGGGACCCGTAGGCCAAAGGTTTTGGGGGACGGAGGTGGCTGGGCCAGAGGCCTGGGCTCCAACCATGAAGTCTCGGCAGAAAGGCAAGAAGAAGGGCAGCTCGAAGGAGCGGGTGTTCGGGTGTGACCTGCAGGACCACCTGCAGCACTCGGGCCAGGACGGTAGGCGCTTCAGGAGCGGAGGTGCTCGCAGGGAGAGGGGCTGGGTGCCACCCACCAGGCGATGGGCCGCGAGGCAGGAAGCTGCGTGAAGAAGGCCGGGCCCTCCGTGGGGCAACGGCGGGTCCTTGGGTCTGAATGGAGGGATGGACAAGGGCCTGGGAGAGTCCGAGGAGGCACTAGGGTGGGTCCTGGTGAGGAGAGTGCCCTATGCAGCCTGGCTGGGCCACAGATGAGGGTCCCGGTGGGGACAGCCCCTCCCGTTCTCTGGGACCCTCCTGGTCCCTTTGTGCAAAGGGGAGGGCAGGGGAGGCTGTGGACCTGGGACGCCAGAGAGCAAGGCAGCCTGAGGCCTGGTCTGAAGACGGGTGAAGGGCAGAGGAGGGGTGGGGACTGTCCCGGAGCTTGCCCGCCGCCTCTCCCCGAGGAGCCCCGAGGGGCCTGGGCCCGCAATGGGGACATGCCGCTCGCTCCCTCTGCTCCCCGGAGCCGCATTTCTCAATTTGGTTGAAATTGAGCACAGGTGTCCTGGCGGCCCCGCCCGGCCTGGTTTGGCAGGTCCAGCTCCTCCCAGAGAAGGGGCCCGGCTCCCCCCCCTCCCCCCCAATCTGTCATTTTCCTCTTTTGTCCTTCTCTGCTCAAAGCTGTGGCCCCTGCAGTGCAGGGAGGGCCCTGGTTCCTGCTGGCTTTCCTGCTTCAGGGCCCGCCCGCATCCCCCGGACACCTTTCTTTCCCCTTTTTCTCCCCCAGAGGCCTCATCCCCCAGGGGTTTGGGCCAAGTGGCACCTTCTGGGGCCCCAAGGTAAAGGTGGGAGGGCCGGCGGGCGGGCTTCTCTTGTGCCTTTTTTCCTTCTCGATGGGCACAAAAGGTTTTTGTTCTGGGAGAAAGGAGGTCTCTGGGCCCCAGGGCCCCCAATAAAGTCTGATAGTACGATGTAGTACGTAGCCCCCCAGGTCTTCTGTGCAAACCCCATGGCCTCTCTCCTCTTCACTCCGGGGGGCCTGTCCTTTCCCCTGGGGGGCCC